GGGGGGGGGGGCTCTACCGAAACAAAAATAATGGAGGAGCCTAGTTTCTCAAAGATAAAGGATCAGTGCCGCAGTATATTAAAGGTATATGAAGAACCTGAAGACGGCATACAAGAAGGCGACAACGATTGGAAGAGCGGGAGGAACGGCTATTCAAACTGCAGTCATGGCGGATTAATTGGATATTCACCGGACAGGATTTTTACAAAACTGGTTATGAAAAGTCTGGTATGAACGCTAAGGGTTTTAGCCGGGCTTTCCCCCGCTAATTATTTAGCGGTTTAAACCGGTTTATAAAAGTCTGGTATGAACAGGATCTATGTCGTGGCTCTGTCCTAAGTGCACTTTGTATTGCCGAAACTGCACAAGTGAATAATCTAAATGATTTCACACAAAGTAGATACAAAGGGAACACAGTTTACACTCATACAAGCAACTTTAACCACTCCAAATTTCAGCTGTTAGAAGATGAAATTTCTTGTTGTACCTGAAAACCTCCTTCAGCATCTCCACCTGTATCTTCTGGTACTTCTTGATGTTGGCAGTGTCTAAGAAAGTACTGGCATATGCAACAGGACCAGCATTCACCTGTGTGTGTCACATACATGTAAAAATATAATTTTATATACATTGAGGTGGCCTCATAAAAACTTTCAGTGCAAAGAACCCAGAAGCATCCCAGAGGCCTACATGTACATCTACATGTAAAATATGCAAGCTCACTCCCTCACTCACTGCCCCACTCACTGCCCCACTCACTCACTCACTCACTCACTCACTCACTCACTCACTGCCCCACTCACTGCCCCACTCACTCGCTCACTCACTCACTGCCCCACTCACTCACTCACTCACTCACTCACTCACTCACTCCCTCACTCACTGCCCCACTCACTGCCCCACTCACTCACTCACTCACTCTCACTCACTCACTCACTCACTCACTCAATCCTCAAGCACTCACTCACTCACGTAGCTCTGAAATGCTAAAATTGACTACAATACACACCTCAAGACTTCTAAAATAGGCATCAAGGTAAAATAACCATGACCAGTTCTGACCTGCACGCTGACACTCCCCTGCAGCTTGAGCTGGAGTTTCTTCATGTCGGGCGGGTCTCGTGTTACCAACTCCCGCAGCTCGGCAGTCTTCTGCTGCATCTCATCCACAGCCACCTCTACAGGCTTCAGCTCCTGGGTCTTGTGGTACACCACCAGAACTCGCTTCTTCACGTATGGGAACGAGTGGGACGCTGGGGAAAAGAAAAGGCAAAGTTAGGTCATCAGGTTGTCATCAGGTTGGTGAGTCACTGAATAAAAAGCCTCCTTTTTATGCAACCAAGTGTAACATTTTTTTGGCTGAACAAAATAGTTGGTTGCATAAAAATGAGGAGCCTTTTTATTCTGTGTATTTTTACACAATAATCTTAGTGAAATGTGCAACAACAACAACAACAAAAAAGCAACAACCCTATGACAATGTCGTGAACATGCTTACACAACTTTTAAGCACATTTCATGCAAGGCAAAATTTCCATTACCACATCCACTGCCGATCTTCTTCACTGTTCTTTCTCTACATTTCAAAATGATCTTACTTTGAAAACATAGTCGAAAACCAAGACAGTAGCTGTTCTTTTACAATACACTTTGCAATGTTGCCTTACTGGTGAGTATTGTTCTCCTCTTGTGCTGTTCCTCTAAGGCACCGTGGGCTTTCCCACTCTGTGTGAAGGGGGTCTCAAACACAAAGCGACGGATGGTGTTGTTCTTCTCAAAGTCTGTTCTTCTCTCCTCCAGTTCCTTCTCATCAAAGTAAGGCTCACAGTAGGTCACCTGGATGTAGGCATACTTGGGGTCCAGGTCCTTAGCCTTTACCTGTGGGATACAGAACAATCTGGGGTTAAAGATATTGCCAAATGCTTTTATACAGGGTTATATAGACTGGTATAACGGTCCGAATGCCCTGATAAAGGGGTTGACAGAGAGGTTGTGGAAACTTTGGTACTATAAATTTTATGGTTGTGAAACTAAGAAAACTATGTCAAATCTAAGAACTTGAAAGAAAAGTCTCTTATAGAATAGGGACTACCTCCTAATTTGACCTATTTGCCAAAAACATTTTTCATTCAAGAACAAAATATATCTTAAATATACAGATTCTAATCAGTATTTTACACAACCTAATGTATGTTTTAGGTTATGTTTTACTCTTGTTTTATGTTTTTGAGTAGAAGGCGTTATATAAGCATGATTTGCCTAATACTCAATAAATATATGTGAATGAAAAAAAAACTAAAACATGCACCTACCATTATCTTAGCCATTGCCTGCAAAATATTGTCAGAACTTTTCGAATTTCAAAAGGTAATAGATAATTCACACATTGTACCTTTCCAGACTCTTTAATCATCTTGACATTGCCGACTCCAAACTTGTCGCTGTACAGCCTCTCCAGTCTCTGGTTTATCTCAGACAGAGATGTCACCTTCGGCTCCTTGTAGATGTACTCCCTGCCATCTTCCTCCTCAAAGAATCCCTTTTGAGATAAAGAACAACTTCTTGTAAGACATAGAATATAAATCAGGCATGTTACATGCAATTCTCAATCAATCATAACATTGCACAATTTAGAATAGAATTATACAATTTTCATGTAAAATATGGGTTCAAATAATCTTCTATCTTATACAATTTAAATTTGTATGGAGAGCTACTACAGTACTTTCTTGATTTGGATTGCAAAGATAGATTTGAAACATGATTTTTTCATGTACATTTAATTTCCACAACGTCCAATATGTGCAAAAAAGATTTAACAATTTCCTTAACATATAATCTGCTTAAATACAATATCATCTGTCTAAGAGAGGACCAAAGAGTCTAAAAGAAGACAAGGCAAACTTTTAGTGCAGTATAAAGTATTCTACAAAGTGCTGGAAAAAACATTGTGTAAATCTCAATTGCTCATGCTCAATGCAGCTATGCCACCTAGCAATACTAGTGCAAACTGCAGGCTCAGCAGCCAGGTAGTAGTGCTGTAATATATTCACAAGAAAAAAACAAGGAAAAGGCAGGACCTATGCAGGTAGTGTGCAGCTAGGAGCAAAGTAGTTAACAGTGCAGTGTCATATAGTCATGTACATGTAGATGTCAGTGCGGTGTGACACTGTTAATAACATCAGTGGGAACAGTAGTAAATGTATCACAAAATATCATGTTGCAAATTGTCTACTAACACTTCAATGCACTTGACAATGTACAAGAAATTTAAAGCTTCAGTACACTGTAATGAATAAGTACTACATACCATACAAAGCTAAAATTAGGTTTAATGTCAAGGCCAAGGTTTAATGTAAGCTAAAAGAACTCTTCTTTAGTAGCAAAATGGATCCTCTTGATATACATGTGTAAATGTCTGGTAATGCTAATCAGTAGTAGGTTTCATAATTTATTGAAAATGATCCTTTTCCTCCACCCATAGCAGTTGAAGTGTTTTCCATTCTGCAAATACCATCCATCTAATGGACCAACAAGGTGTTTGTGATGCAGGTATTTAATTTTTCTACAATCTAGAATGTCAAAGAAAACTGTACACTTATCTGTGGCCAGTAGCTTCTAATGTCTTCACTTCGATTAAGTCAAGATGTGTATTAAAATGTACTTGCAAATGGGCAACAATATGAATCCGTCCAATGTACAAGGAAGCAAAGGAAAACACTATGTTTACTACTACATGTAATCAACAGCCATTTGTTATATCTGACATGAAAGTCCTGCAAGTATGCAGCAAAATCAGGTAATATACTGTCCAGTATAATATAGATAGCTGCAGTTTCAGTGAAACAAGACATCTTCATGCTGTACATGTGGTGCTACAGACAGAACTGGACTGGACCACAAAACATGCATGACATCATGCAGTGCTGAATACAGGCTTTTGCACAAAACGGCTGTGCCAGACTTAAAATATAGAGATAAAACAGACAAGAAAACTTTAGAATGTGAGGTCCTCACATTATTCCTCATACTCTGGCTGAGGCTTGGGCTGGGACCTACCAGAAACTCCTGCCATTGCTGGGGGAGCATGGCATTAACAAGAGGGAGAAAAAAAACACAAAGTTTTCATGTCAGCAACTTTAGAATTTGCCTACTTGCCGAATAGCATCAAAGTGGACGAGATAGCATCATACAGTTTAAAATCGAGACTCATATAAACGATCATAATCATTATATTCAGTTTGCTGCAAACAATGAATACATCTACATTCTTGACTAATGTATTTTGGATCTTTCAAACTTACCTGAAATGTTATGCAAACATTAAATCACCACTTCTTAGAAAGACATCTATTCTACCAAGGTGGTAGTAAGAAGTTCAGATTCTGTGCAGAAATGTGCAGCACAGTGTCAAAGAAGAAACCTTGAAACATTTTCCTCTCTGGTTGTCCATCGTCTCCGATGATGACTTCTGTGCACAGCCCGTCAGGTGGGGTGGATCCTCTGGTGACTTCTTAGCCCGAAGGCTGAGGCACACAGCCTGAGCACAAACATTTTCCTATACATACCTAATCATCACTCCCATTTCTGACCAGCCAAGTCTGTTAGTACACTGTACAAGCCAAGGCTGCAATCCCTACAACTATGGCTACTACAGCAAGCACACATCCTGCTGGTAGTATCAACTAGTAGACTACAACGTGAAGCAGAACCGGGGATTGTGGAACTACATGTACGTACCTGTCCATAGAAAGCAACCCGGAAGTACGTTCCCAGCAGCCTCCTGCCTGACTGCATGACCGTGACCACCTTCTCGTATGACTGTGTCAGATGTCTGTACGCATCTGCAAGTCTCTGCAGGATAAAAAACACACACTTTGGTTAAAACTTGGTAACTCTACCTTGATACGTAAGCTGTATGAATCATCACCATCCGATAACTGTCTTGGATGGGTTTATATGGGTTTACCATCCCTTATTGGGGAATATACCCTCATATTAATTCAATATAAGATGGGGTGTACCAGGCCTCCAAATTCCCATGATGTTTATCATTATGTGGCTAATATGAGACAGGTTTGCTAGGCCTCTTTCTGAGTGATTTGTATGAATCTGCAAGTCTGTGCAGAAAGATGACGATCATTTTTGTCAAAGTTTTCTCCGTAATTTTACATCCTTTACCTGAAACTCCCTCCTCTTCTCGTAGATGGGGATGATGAGTTTGTAGACTTCCCCCAGAACCTCGTATCTCTCTGCCTTCTCCAGGGCCTGGGCACACCTCTCCAACAGTTCTACCAGCGTGTCCTGGCAAACAAACAAATACGTCAGATAAGGGTTAAATAAACAGTACCTATTCTAACTACAAGATTTAGTATACTCTATTGTGTACACACAGGACTGGTAATGGTATACTGATGCAAAAATGATACAAACTTGCTTTCATAAATTTAGTAATATGTCGTTCAGTCATGATATATTTCAACAGTAAGTGTTGTTAATAGAATATTCTTCAGTTACTTTTTGAAAGGTAGCAAAACACACATCGAAATTTTCGACGTCTTCTGTACGTCTTGATCACAGAGTAATATATGTTTGCCATGATACAACGTATTTCTTTCACGTACATTTTTAGCAATTACAACTGCTTTTTTCATAAAACAAATTCATCCATAAAGTCACCTCTGTGTAGTGGACATCCTCAATCCCTGAGTCGTCTTTAATAGCCGATTCTTCTGCCTCTATATTGGGAGAGATGATCCTAAAAGCTGCACAGCCCTTTGGGTACACTCCTATTGAACAAGTAATAAACATTATTGGTAAATGGGTGGTCTTTCCTCCTTCTGGGGAGTCGGACACAGCACTCATTTGCAGTGTAATTTGGGTGTTAAATAAAGTTGAATAAAAATTAAAGTGTGATACTTCTAAAATCATAGATAAAAATGTCAAGTAATCCAAGATGTCTTTACAGATTTTCATTACGGATATAGTAAAGAAAAGTCACAACATACATTGTATACATTAAAATTTGAATGGAATGCATTTTAGTACCAAGGACAGTGAAATTATTAATTGTGCTAAACTGTTACACTGTTGGTTCAAGAGCCAGGCATTCTAGTCTGAAAAGTTTTGATTCGTAATCAAAAATCAACAGTAAAAGACAATCAGTGAAATTTGAGGAGCCTCCCCAAAACATGCAGATTTAGTTGTTACAGTGATGGTGTTAAGTTAGTGCAGTTAGCCCCTAGTTCTTCAGTAAGAATGCTGTGTCTTTCTGGAATGTGGTGGAGTTGCCTGTACCTTTAATGTACGTTCTTGTATTGTTGTCGGATTTGTCGTCTGAAAGGCAAATCCGGGCACTGATGAACTAAAAGTTTCCACCACTCAATACAAAAGGGAATGTACCGGCCATACAGACATTCAATGCAACTGGTAATTAATAGAATAATCAAACAAAATAAAATGCATTCATTGTGCTTCGTATTTGAACACCTATCTAGAGGCTGGTGTGACATTATACAATCATACATTTACCAAAAAGGGGCTAACAAATGCTAAAACGTTAACATACTAATCTAAAATATTTCTGCACTCACATGTATATGTATAATTATTTGGTCCAACTTTTTTCCACATCACATTCAATGCCACTTCCTGTCGGTGTTCACATTCGACCACCTACACCTCTCCTATTCTGTGTTTGTGTAACTATAACTATATAGACAGAAAGTGGTCTTCTCTTCGGAGCTTGCGAAGAAGAGAAGTTGATATCTTCACTAACCTTTTCTCTTCAGGTATTCTGCTACTAACGCTGCAACATGGATGTAGCACATGGCAGCCTGAAAGACAAGGGTCAACACTGTAATATACCTCCATGCTTATATGGAGCAAAAGTCTTATCAAATATCTAATGAAGAATCTGTGCATTGAACAAGAAGTCATTACCTGCTTGATTGCTCCTAACAGATTCATCCTTTCCTTAAATAGTCTGCTATCGAAAATCATAATATTATACATACAATGTACATCTGTATGCTCAATGAAGTGCAAATTTTACTCCAGAATCTATCAGACTTAAGACAAATTATACCCTCAGATGAAATCCAAAACAGTTTTTTCTGGAAGCATGACTGAAAGAACTGAAAACTGAAACATGTAAAATTCAAAAACCTCAAAGATTGCTAAATTTTTCTGCTATGACAATATTTCGTTGTCTCTAAATTACGACTTTTAGTGTATATTATACGGTATGGTGTTACACCGAAGGGCGGTTATCCTGGCTATATACTGATACAGATACAGATAAGCTGGCTCCAACTCACCTCGGAATAGTCCCCGTTCTTGTTGTGTATCCTGGCCATGTTTTCCAGCCATGTTTTCCTCAACTATGACAATATTTCATGATCCCTAATTTTTACTGTATGTACTCTGGTGTGGCTTGAACTCTAACTCACCTCTGAATAGTCCCCATTCTTGTTGTGTATCCTGGCCATGCTCTCTAGCCATGTTTTCCTCAGCTCCAGGTTGCTTGCATAGGACTTGGCCAGGCTGTACTGCAGGTCCACCAGCATCTCAGGGTCGTTCTCATGTTCCTTCATCTGAGCCGTGGCCATCAGGACCGTACGGATACGCTTGGTGAGGTCCTTTACGTCCACGGGGAAGTTGGAACACTGCAAAGATGCACGCAAAAACATTTCTTATAAAAGATACCCAAGGCAATCAATAATATTGTATGACACGCAATCATGTTAAAATAGTATGTGTATTTACTACTTGTGTTATGTGCTGATAATTCTACAAAGGAAAGAAGCAAAAGGGAGATTTGAGCTGTATTTTCAATAGTTGCTGGGGAAAAGTTTCAGGTCCTTCCCAATAACGTTCATCATTTACAACTGACAGACTAACATCGGTGAAGGTTAGACATCTAGGTAATAAGATACGCCAGTTACTCAAGCAACTGGATACGACAGTTACTCAAGCAACTGGATACGACAGTTACTCAAGCAACTGGATACGATTTTGTAAAAGGTCAGACGTTTCGGCTAGCATCCACTACCTTTCATCAGTGACACTGGGGACTTGTCAGAAAGGCAGGTTTATACATGTAAGTGCGAACTAAGGAGTACAACAGACGATCCCTTGAGCAAAGTGCAGACTGAAACAAGATCAATAAGAAAAACACCAATTCTACTCTTAAACCCTCTACAACTACATGACATGTATGATATACGTAACTTACACCTTGTGCACAGCATTCACTGACTGGCAACACCACAATCCGACTAGAACATCAAAAATCCCTCTCCCACAAGCATGTTTGTATATCTCCCGTTAGACAGCAGATGTTCCCTTTACACATGAAGGCCTCCACCCTCCCATTACTACAATCACTACGCTGGAGAGGTTCCCATTTCTGAAGCTCTCTAATGGCTCTGCTGGGGGAGGGTGTCTATGACAATGTTGATTGGAAAAGCTTCACGCACCATTAAACTCTGCATGTCCAAATTGTGAAGCTACCCACCATGTAATTGCGAGGGCGGAGCACTCTAAAGATCTGCATTGTCCTAAAATCTACATAAAGAGCTCCTTTTACTTAGTATGGTTATTGTACAAGAGGTCTACAAAAAAACAATCAGTTCTGTTGAAACAAGAACTGATATACTGTGAATTTTATTGTGCAACTTTCAATTTTGGTCAGTAGTTCAAATTCTTGTTACTTTGCAAACTTGCATGCTAATAGAAAGGGTTCTAGTCCCTAGGACAGAACATTAAGCCATAGTCCACTGTTCAATGTATACTTGTTGAAAAGAATCTCCGCAATACACTGAATTTGTGCAGTGTACAATGTACATAATAAATTATGTACAGTGTCATATAGATTCTGTCTTACTTGTTACGACCTAAGGAAGAAGTGTTTCCAAGTGTGCTAAAACTGGCCAGAGATACATGTTACAGTACGATCTTCCTTTTATTAAGCTTCTCCCTGCTGCAAAGCCCCTATAACTGCTACAAATTTGCAGCAAAATGTATCCCTCAGCCATTTAAGGTTAAAAATCTTTACCCACCATCATACTGCGGTCACTGTTGGCATAGTTGTTGATGATGGAGAGCGAGTCCTTGAAGCGGGATCCACTAAGGCCTATCACATCACTGATCAACTGGGACACGTTGATGATGACCTTAAGGAAAGATAAACAAGAGCATTTAAGACCTGAAAATTAAGGATTTATCATAAAGAAACTGTAATGTATAATTTTTCTACAAATGTTGGGTCAGAAATTTCAGCAGAATCTACTAACTATCACATCACTCATGTGAGATCTGAAAGTGACAGTCTAAGACAAAAGACATTGAACTTTTGGATAATCTATAATTTGAAAATTTTACAGAGTTAGGTCAGAAATACAAGGCAGCATGACCTACGAACTAAGTAAGACAGTGAAAGAACAACTTTCTGTCTAAATTGCTGGGAACAAAACTGACAAATTTCCATCATGGCTTGTTACCTGAAGTAAAAATTTTCAGTTTGAAATTCTGGAAAAACTCATTCACAAATGTCATGCATTTTTTAAGCTGCTGTGTTATGCCGAAGGGCGGTTATACCGGATATACCGATACAGAATGCAGATTTTAGTTTGTAACTCTGGACAAAAACAGGACTATTTCTGTCAAAACTACTGAGAGAACACAGCTGCCACCTACATCTACATTTGCACATGTACATGACTACAGTACTTACTTGCAGATGAACCCTAGTGAATCCTCTGCGCTTGGTGTGTTCGTAGTTACTCCTCATGAGCAGGTAGAGGAGCCCGCACGCTTCGCTCCGCGTGGACTGCAGCTTCGAGTTGCAGCATTTCAGGATCTGTGCAGGGTGTGGAAAAGTCAGACAGAAGTCAATGTATGCACCAAGGTACTGTACATCACTTTATTTTGGCAGTACCAAAAGTCCACAGTTTGAGAAAGATGGACATGTTTGCAAAACTATTTGTTCACAGTGGGGACAGTTGCAGAGAAAAAAAAATCTGCAAATTATATGTTCATGTTAATGTTAATGTTAATGATAATATTAAGTTTGCGATACAGAAGTGACTGCGAAAACTGCGGATATAAAAGTCCTGTAAAGAAATCGTGATTTACAGTATACTAGCCTTTTTAACAGGCTCTTCAGAAGGTGTTCTAATGCCCCCATTATTGACCATTTTATAATTTGATATCATACAAACTGTTTTGTGATGGTTCCTGTGTATTGATGACTACTATCGGGTCTATGGCCAATGTTATAATCAGAAACTGCCAATAAGAAAACTGAAACTGTATGTAACCTGCTAAATAGGTCAATGCTGAAGCATTTACCAAGGAGCCTTCTATGGAGGTTAAAGGAACAATCTGGCTGACATTTAACACTGCCCAGCAACTTACAGTTGGAAGTCGAAACATGTGCACGACACATGACTACATGCATTCAGTTCGACCATGCAATTGTGAAGGGAAAGTTTGATAGATTGTGATATCTGGTGGATTGTATCAATGCTATCACAATATTCTTTCTACTTTCTTAGAAAACGTACATTGTTTTTCACTGTATGGAAACAATATATGTGAATATGTGAATTGTTTTACCAAGACATAGAATGCAATTTTCTAGTACTACTCCTTCACTATTACTTTTTTGGAATGGAACAACTTTAAACAACAACAATTCAACTTTAAGAGATAAAATCTTGACAGTTAACTCCAATATACATAGAAAAGCCAAGGATGTTCTATTAATCATTATTTTAAACCTCCTTGGAAAAACTCATTTTGATCACATGGGGAAATAGTGTCAAATGTGCAAATACATTTGGTACAAGACAAAAAGGACCCTACAAAATGCAAATATGTGCACAGCAAACGTAATGACAGGAGTGTGACCTTAGGGTCACATGATCACACAGCTCCACTGGTAACCATAGGAACCATAGAACACCACTTCCATCTGTGTCTCCTGGTACAACACAACTGCCATAGTTGCGAAGAGTCAGAGACTCTGACATTCTCATTGTAATCATCATTCATTTGTGAGACTGACTGTGGACTTTTCCACTTGATAGCTCTTTTGGATTATATACGTTACATGTGGCTGAATTTCTTTGGAAAATTTGAGCTGACCTTAGAATCAAAATAAAAAGTCTGAGAAACACGACATTGGAAGGCAAGGGCAGAGAAGACACCATATGGAGAAACTGTGGCTTGGTTTTATTAGGGGAGAATTTGACAAACATTTTGTCTTTGAAGATGGATTAAGTGCTGGTATACATGTACATGTACATTTAACCCATTGCTCTCTTACTTGTCTCAGTAGGTATCCTCTTACCTGGTAGCATAAGGCACCACACAGCTTAGCACTGCCACTGAACAGGGCACGTGGGAACTGCAGGAAGAAAATAGAACATCTGGTTATAAAATGCTCAAGCCACCGCCGATGGATGGACGGTTATGAATTTTCATCAAAGTATAATAGCAAATTGATGTAGTTTAGTACAATAAATTGATGAATGAATGAATGAATGAATGAATGAGTAACAATGTACAAGTGTAGTACAATAAATTGATGAATGAATGAATGAATGAATGAATGAACGAATGAACGAACAAATGAATGAAAGATAATGAACTTCTCACCTTGTTGATGAAGGACCGCAGACATGCAAAGACATGCCTGAGGAGGGTCTCTGACTGGCTGCCTTGCAGAAATGACATGTAGAGGTCAAACACCTGGAAGAGATGAACACTTTGGTTAACAGGTGTTCTTAGAAATTAATTTACTGTCTTTGTCCAGAAGCAACAAAATTTAACATTAATGTGTGTATCCCTTACAAAGTATTAAACCTGACAGACATGTTCATTGTACTTTAATGTTACCTTACAAGTGTTATCATTTTTATTCTTGCCTTGAAGCTAACTTGTACTAGACATAAGTACATCTTTATATTATACATGTACATTGTATATTCTTGGCAAAATTAATTTTCCCTCTGCTATACATTTTTCAATTTTCACATTGAACAGTTGGCCTGTACATGCTGTTTGTGCTGTCTATACATCTCCTGTGACAGTGTGGATGCATGTGTACTGATCTACACAGCAACAGTGTAGTGATGTTGACTGAGATAACAGATACTGCTTGGACCAAAAAACAAACGATGGACACTACACAATGTCCTTAAACAAAGAAACACTCGCACACGTGGAAATATACACGTCTACCCATAGGCTTTACATGAGCTTGAAACAGGTTCAGTGACCCATATTGTGTTTGTACATATTGTGTAAATACTGCTTATCGGGATATATATCATCTAGTTGTGACACAGTATCACTGTTGCCAAGTCGGCTATAACACGTCTTTTATAATGCGGGATAGAATCTACTTTGTGAGCTATTATTTGTAGCAGGTTATAGTCAACATAGACTGACAAAAACAGGTCAAATATTGTGTAAATACTGCTTATCTGGATATGTATTAGTTGTGACACAGTATCACTGTTGCCGAGTCGGCTATAACAGTTCTTTATAATGCGGGATAGAATCTACCTTGTGAGCCATTATTTGTAGCAGGTTATAGTCAACATAGACTGACAAAAACAGGTCAAATTTAACAGCCAGCCATCTGGTACACCTTTGAAAACAAAGCACCAGGGACATGTGAACTGTAATAACCCGGTTATTTTGTGGCCATACAAGCGGGCCAGGCAAACAGATACAGTCGGCGGGGTTGGTGGTCGGTCAATAACGCTATAAAGAACCAGGTCAGACAGAACAAAACAAGTCATGTGTGATTGACTGGCACTATAAAACGGTGGAGTCAAGTGTTTGGTTCCCACAAAAAAACAAGGCTGGGACCCGAGAAGCTACAAGCGGTTACAAGAACTGCAAGAAGGACAATACGAGGAGTGCGGCAGTGCATTTTTTCCAGTCTACGTCCACAGACAAGGCCACATTGTGCAAGGGCAGGGCTGATCTGAGCTCTTGTGTAGACAATCTGACAAACATTCAACAGACGGGAACTAGTCAAACACTGAGGTTGCCTCCCACGCAACAACACCTACAGGGACCACCATACTACAGGGCTTGCAACGGCAACTTTGCTGCTAAACAACAAGTGCCAAGGTACAACAGGTTCAAGTTTCTTTTTCTGGAACATTCCTAGATGTTTTTAAAGTTACAGGACCAGTGTGAAGAGTAATTCCAAGTCCTTCCAAAGGTAAATTGAGGGAGCTCTCGAAAACAAGATGGCTTCGGACGCCTGTACTGATGACGTTGCCTGCGGTGACTGTGATGCCACGTATTACAGCATTCTCGCTGACATACAAAAAACTGTGGGGGAGGTAGAAGGAACCCTGCAGGAAAGTGAGCACAGTGTCGAGTCTACAGCAGTTAAAGAGGAGCTAACAGAGACCACTGTTGTTTCGGAAACTATAATCACAAAATACAGCGCCCAGGTGACAGTTACAACAACCCAAGCTGAGAAACACCTGCAAATTTCTGCCACTGAACCACCAGACAGAATGGAGCCAGAGACCACAGAGTCTGAGACCACAGAGCCTGAAGAAAGCTTCAGAAAAGCAGAAACAGAACACGCCTCCGACATTCCGCCAAGGTGCGTCATAACTACTGTTGCTAAGAGCATGAGTTCTGATGACAGCCCAGAGGTCGAAGTCTCTACAGAGGAACAGCCAAACAACCTGGGTAAGGAAGAAGCTAATAAAGATTTGAGGGAGCCTGAGGCACATCTTACAGTGCAGCTTTCAGCACAGGGTGAGAAGGATACTACAATGTTGGAGGAAATCATGTCTACCTTGGCAAAAAATCAAGAGCAGGAAGATAACAACACTCAAGAAGACTGCCTGGGGGAGAAAGAAAGGGAAGATGCAGAGGAAGCAGAGGACCAGGAAGTTGAGAAAGAAGGAGGGGGCGAGGATGAAATAAAGGAAAATCTGGCAGAGAGAGAAGGGCTGAAGGAAGAAGAGGAGGCAGACAATGCTGAGGAAGAAGGAAAAGAGGAAGGAGGTATCAAAGATGCAGTGGAGGAAGAATCAGAAGAAAGAGATGCAGAGGAGAAGGAGGTTGAGAATGTAGGAGTAGATGAAAAGGAAGATGAGGAACAGGAGGTGGAGCATGAAGAAGTGAAGAGAGAAGAAGCAGAAAATGAAGTAGAGAAAGAAGAAGTGGAGCAGGCAGGAGAGGAAGAAAATCAAGAGGAGAAAGGAGGAGTGAAAGAGGAAGAGGCAGACAATGAGGTTAAGACAGACAAAGAGGAGGAAGGACAAGTAGAAGAGCAAAATGAAGGTGAGAAAGAAGAAGTAGAGGAAAGGGATGTAGAAGAAAAGGGTGTGGATGCAGAAGAAGTAACAGAAGTAGGAGAGGAAAAGAAAGAGGAAAAGGAAGTAGTGAAGGGAGGGGAAGAGGGACAGCAGCTAGAGGAAAATGCAGTGGAGAGAGAAGAAGCAGAAACCCAAGTAGAGGAAAATGCGGAGGAGAATGAAGTGGAGGGGGGAGTAGAAGAAGGAGATGAACTGAAGGCAGAAGTGAAGACAGAAGAAGATGTGGAAGATGAAGATAAAGAAGTAGCAGAGGAAGAGGAGAAAGAAGGAGTGGAGGAAAATGATGCTGAGAAAGACATAGTGGAGGAAGGTAAATTGGAAGAAGAAGAAAAGCTAGAAGATGACAAAACAGAAGAAGTGGAGAAAGAGGTAGATGGAGATGATGGAGACGATGAAACAAACATTCCAGATGCAGGCACCGAACCAGAGGCCAAAGACACAGAGGACAGCCCTGAAAAGAAGGTAGTGGAAATCCTGGCTGAGGAAGAAAATGTTGAAGACAACCTGCCTGCAGTAAGTGCAGAAGAAGAAACATCTAGTAACAAAGAAACCAAACCAGAACCAACAGAGCTGGAGATCCATACAGCTCCATCAGAGGAAGTTCCAGATACTGCACTTACAAGTGACAAGGGGACACAGTATCCTCCTGACAAGGCCTTCACAATCCCAGACGACATACCTTACATCGATGATGCAGAGCCAGGGGAAGAAACAGAACACCAGACAGAAGCGAAGAAAGAAACTGAAGTGAAGAAAGAAACAATCACACAGGCTAGTGAGGAAACAGCTGAAGGAATAAAGCCGGAAGAAGCTGCATTCTTGGCCTTCATGGAAGCAAATGCAAAGGACGAAGACCCAGACGATGAAGACACAAACAAACCTGATGACACTGCAATGATGGACCAAATCATGGCTGCACTAGCAAAACAGAAAGAGGAGGAAGCTAACAAGAAGAAAGAAGACGACAAAGGGGAGGAGAAAGGAGAAGAAAACAACAAGGAAAAGGAGAAAGAAGACGACAAACATTCCAAGGAGAAAGACTTGGATGTAGACAAGGATGACAAAACTGCTAAAGACAAGGATGGAGAAGATGTAGAGAAGCCAGAAGAGGAAGAAACGAAGAAGAAGAAAAGGCCAAAGCTGCTGAGGTGTATGCTACCATGTGTGTATCCACGGAAAGGGAAGAAAGCCTGACTGTAAGTAGCTATGATTGCAACTGTAGTGATCAACTCACCAAGAGAGTGGCAACACACCAAAAACACAGAATAATGTACTCACTGACTGTACCAAGGAACTGCTTTAAGACAATCTCACCAGTCCTATTCTATTCTTCCCTTTGATTTTGATGAAGCAACACCTCAAACAAGAACAGTGTCCAATATTGTCCAAGTAAAATTGTGCCTTCATAACGTTATGGAAAAATTGTTTCACAGGAAGGGCAAGCTCTGCAGACGTTTAGAACATTGATGTGTTTTATGTTTGTCGGAGGTAGAGCAGAATGTACAATTTGTTGATATACATGTAGATTTAGAGCGTGTTAAAAAACTTTTATTTTGCATTATTGTATGGTAAATTACATTTTTCATGCTGCATTGAACAAATAGTAATAAGACTTCAAATCAAAATTCCAAAAATTTTCAAGCAAATACTTACAAGCAAATAGTTACATGTATAATGATTTAGACTTATCAGCTTTTTGTTTTTTAAAGCTTTACAAAATAAAACATCTGATGTGTGGCTACACATGTTTTTGGTGTTGATTCAATATACAATCACATAGTTACAAGATTTGCTAACTGTAGATTGAACATAAAGTGTGTATTGGCATAATATCTTACAGAAACCAGTGGTGTAGGATTTGTACATGTGGGGAGGGGGGCAGAAAGTAAGAATTGGCACCTACCCTCTTCATCCTGATATTGTCTCCATCTCTCACCAGCAGCTGCTCCTGTTTTAATTAAAAGGACAAAAAATGAACCACGATGTAACACTCAAACATTGTCCTCGCAAAACAAAGAATACATGGCTTTCTATGGTAAATGCAAGATAAATGTATTTATGTCCTTACCTTGTACTGTTGAGTGTACAGAGCCAACAGGTCCAAGACTGTGAGTCCGACCTCTGTTCCCATATTAGCCTCCAACAGAGCTCGATGGACTGTCTCTGGATCTGTAGAAAAACAATAATTTTTTTTTTGTTAACAGTGTTGCTCAATGCAAAGCCAAATGACCACTTCACTTCTTGAGCTATATGATGTAGGTGATACAACAGACTATGCCAAAAGACAGTGGTGACTGTTTATTTTGAAGATTCAGAAGGAAAGCATGTGTTTGGGAGGGAGTTCATAAAAGTGGAAGAGAAAAGAGTGGTTTGTACATGTTGGCCCTACCTTGCATGAACGGGTATCCTGACATGTCGTGTGCACTGCTCCTGTGGCCGATGGTAGAAGGTGCCAGCCTGCGGATGGGAAGGGTCATGACCTTGAGGCTTCTACTGCTGCCCCCCTCCATAAACTCTCTGTGGAAATGACACAAAAAAAAACATGACTACGAGGTGATAGGACTGATACCAACTCACGTATTGGGCTTCGATCACAATATACATTGTACACATAAATGATTTACTCAGATCCTTTGCGCTGCCTGAAATGTTTCAATACAAACAAAAAATACAAAAATTACTGGATGCAGACCTGTTTTCTTTTTAAGTTATGATTAAAAGAAACTGGCTGAATGCCCCCTTCTTTGGATTGCTGTAAAATGCAGCACAGTACTATTGCAAACAAACAAACATATCACTTCATGCCAGTGCCATACTAAATAAGAAATCAGCATATTAAGCTTTAAAACATAAATGTATATTCAAAGACAATACATACAGCAATTTCCTTAGTGTAAAATGAAATCTTCTACCAACTACACACTTACACACATAAACTCCATCGTACAGGCTTGCTATCATGGTAAGTTTTAAAATAAAGAAAAAAAACTGTAGTAAGTGTCGGCTTGTACATGATGTGTGATTGTGATTTGGCCAATGTTACATTTCTTTTATAAATCAATCTATAAAACTCCACTTTAATGGATTGAATGTTCTTTGACATCACTTGACATCACCAGACATCAAAATTATTCATTTACCTTTGATATCACATGTACATGTATGCACTGATTACAACATACATGTAGACTTGAGAGTGAGCATGGCTAAAGCAAGCTGACTGAAGCTGCGGCACTTTTTTTCACATTACAGTGTCCTAAACTATGGGTGACTGTAACTTCTTTGCTTTATATGTCTTTAATGATTCCTTATTATGTCATACCTGGGTTATGATAACTTCAATACAGGTGTTCCAGCCTGCGTGATGCTTCTAACAGTTATCACACGAGCTACCAAAAGTTTCATAGGATAATTTGAATGTGCACTGCTTTCAAAAATCTGAACAGACTATTGGAATTTATGATACAACTTTTTGTTTAGAGACAAAAAATTTTCTCCATTTCTGTCACATTTCGCATTGAAATTTATTTTCTCAGGTGGGTATGACATAAACAAAATGCAACACGGTGTATTCCGCATCACCCTCAGTCCCAGCCCTTTGGCCATCAGGCAATCCTTGGGAATACACCATGTTGTATTCTATATGTACAAAATTTAATGTGGTTTTACGTGTGTACTGTTTCAGTACCTTGTATATGTGCAGTATGACATGACTGTGCAGTGTGGCTTACCAGAGACCATGTTCTCGGAGAGAAGGGGGGCAACAGTTGAGCCATGGAAACAAAAGCAAAGACAGAGAGCTCGTATTTAGAACATGGGCTACACGTATTATCAGTAGAGCCGCACCGATAATAATATATAAATATGTTTAATGTATTACATGGACACACAATATAAGAAGCTTGGAAGAAAGAGTTGCAAAAGAGAGAGAGATTGTGGTCAATTTTGCATGATTGCTGGCATGTATGATTTGGGGCAAAACAACGTGCGCAGATTGCAAGCAGATTACAAGGATGCTACATTGTAACAGTTTGTTGATTGCAGTTCATCTACATGTACATTACCTGCAACTTCATGTATTACATAGTAACATACTACACATCTATATTACAAACACACAACAGGCAACATATAAAGTACTAGGGCTATATTATGTTTTAACCCTGGTAAATTAGCATATTGACTAGATATTCTGAACTAAACTACAAGAGAATTTGAAGGTGTGCACAAGTGTATGGAATGTTGTCATTGGTGGCATTGGGGGTAGATTTGCTGTATTTATTCATTTAGAATTGCAGGTGTTACTGTTGGATTTTTTCGCTGCATAATCATGTATTACCTACAATTCCATTCCTTTCTGAAAATTTACACATTGCAATTGAATTTGAGGCAATAGTTTGAATTTACTGTTGTCGTAGCCAGGAGAATTACATGATTGTGATCTTTCTAACATTGGGTTGTACATGTACCAAAAAGGAGTAGACAAAAGATTTTTTAGTACGAAATCACTGTTTTTCCAGTACAAAGGCAAAGAAATGCTCGTAATGATCTCAGAACTACATTTATTAGTACCATTATATATGGAAGGCATGGAATTGCGAATGTTGCACATGTTATACATGATTGTGGTTTATTTGTGATCACCTGTCAGTGGTGATTTGTTGATGAGAATTTTACCCACCTTGAAGCAATGTACTTCTTGCCGAGATACCGGAACTGGTGCAGACAAATCCTAAAAGCAAACATGTAAGGTAAAACTGGGAAGAAAGCTTGGCAAATACAACACTAACTACAGTCACTGCAAAATGAGCTTAAAACGCTATGCTTGGCCTTGACCTTAAGACAAGCTCACATGACCAATACACTGGTTAAAAATTCAGTTCTTGGATGTACTAGTACAACCTACATGTAGTATATACTTTTACCTTACAAAATTCCTTAATTGAACACATACAATACAACAATTTAGTTCTGTTTTTCCTAGGTACTTTTATGCTTGTGGTTTCTTGGTGTCACTTCTGTAAACTTATCATTACCATTAACAAATACAATGTAAATCACCAACTTTTCTTTTTTTTTCTGCACCTGCCGCCACTACAAACATAAACTACTGTGAACACCATTTTTCTCAGCCTGTGAACTTATTTGCTACCATGAGCATTAAGTGAATAACAGAAAAATAACTTACTCCAGGATGGTGAAGAACTCCATGTGGTCTGACTCGGAGGCCTGGTGCCACCAGGCATGCAGGATCTCTGGGGGAACATTAGAAAATGACTTCCCTGTGCCAGGGAATCATGGGGGGAACTGTTAAAAACACCGTCACCATGGCAACACAAAGATAAACATGCAGCAGTGAGTAAAAAAACAAGAGCAGGGAGATGTGGATGACTTGAGCACGTTGGCAGAACATACTACACCTGCGCATAACCCGTAATGTTCTATGCATAGCACTTCGGCAGAACGTCTCATATAAGGTCGTATTCGCGCACATAAGGTTAGCATTTTGTCTGTAGTTTCCAAATGTTGCGTTTGAAAAGATATCGTCTGCAACAGGCAAAATTCTGATGGAACATTGACCAAACATCCAACAAATACTGTGAAAAACCAGGGTTTAGCACAGGTGCAGTACATGTACATACTGCCGACGTGCTGGATGACTGGATATAATCTCCAAGCAGATGTTGGTAGGTAAACATCATAACGTTTTCTGGCTGTCCTTGTTTTCCTGGGGGCATGCATGTTATGAAAACATGGCGGCCAAAAATGTTATGATTTTTACCTAATATCTGCTGGCAGATTATACAGCATGAAATGCAGTCCAGTTGAACCCAACTCTAGGTAATCATCTACATTGTACCTTACAGCACCTGCATATAAGCAAGCACCTTCACCAAAACAACTTTATAATCCTCATGGCGTTTCCCAAGCAATAAGCCAAGCTCCTGGGTTTCCCAATTTTCTGCAAAAGATTCTTTTCAAGCTAGGAAGCTTTCAGTCACCAAAGAAAAATCACCATTGGGATAACTGCTTGTCTTAAAGTTTGAATAACTTAGTAATCAGCATTTGAAACTGTTAAATACCAGTACCAGTATATGTTCATCTTTAACAAATAAATCCACAGTGTAACTCCTATTAATAACAGTAACTAATATACCTATTACTAAGACCATAACTTATTCATTTGATACATGGAATGTGTTGCATGACAAATGACATTTAAAAAGCCAAACTATACTATGATAACTATGGACAACTCAATCAAAAGTGTGAAAGTGTATAGAATATTTCAATGATCGACTTTTCGGGTCATTTCAAGGGTAATACGTGTGAAATCTGATAATACTTTAGACCATAATCCACACAGTATGTGGAATCTAAGGCTGCAAACATAATTTACTTGTGTGCAGACTATAGAAATGTTCTTGCATTTTGTATCTTCAGAAATCCACTGCATTTTGTAGCTATCATAAGAAACATCATTATTAGTAAGGTTTCTTAAGACTTCTTACCCTCATTGAGGTTCTTGAGGATGAAGAGCAGACAGACTAGAAGGTCTTTGATCTCTCCCTCATCTAACTTGTCATGTCTGAGGAAGGTTCCTGCAGCCGAGGCACTCCTGGAAACAGAAGGTGGTGCAAAACTGTCTTAGAAATACATTTGTTCAATAGACTAGAATGTGTACTTTTTAGAATGTTTTTTCCTTCCTTAAATAGAAGCTTTCTTCAAAATTTGTTAGGAATGGAAGGATTTTCAGCACCAAGAAGAGAGACAATGTGAAAAAAGTTTTTTGGTTAGACAGTACAACGGATGGCTTTTCAGCACCATGAATATGCTTGTTGTGAAAAATGTCGTTGCAACCTAGAAAACAGTCACCCACACATTTTTGCACCCCCCCCCCACACACACACCTGAAGTGCCCTTGTAGTTTGATGCGTGAAAGACAGATTTCTCTAGTATGACAATACATTTTCTACCTTCATGCTTCCTCTAATGAAGAAAAAACACATGCACATACTTGCTATCAGCTACCCATGCAACCGCCCATCCATGCACACACTCACTCAACCACGCATGTTTGCTTCCCCCTACACACATACACACTCACCCATGCATATTTGCACACCCCACCCACCACACACACACGCACACTCACCTGAAGTGCCCAGGAGCAGTATTTCCTCCCTTCAGCCTCTCGCTGTCCTTCCTCTCTATCAGCCATCCACGGAACCACCCATCCATGCACCCAACCACGCATGTTTTCAACCCCCCACCCACCCACCACACACACACACGCACACACACACCTGAAGTGCCCAGGAGCAGTATTTCCTCCCTTCAGCCTCTCGCTGTCCCTCCTCTCCAGCATGTTGGGCAGGGACCCGTTACTGGCCTCGGTGCTGAGGGAAGAGTTGGAGTCTGCCCGTTGTTTCGTGTCCAACTTCAGCGGCATCGGGGACGAGATATTTCCACTGGGAGTCCCTGTGGTGTGGAAAACATAACAAAATTAAAACTAAATCATCTAAACTGGCAACATTTGCAAGCAAATGCAAATACATGTATTTTCCTGGTTACCAGATGGACCATTAGGAATCATTTTCATTGTGAATTGTCAATAATTCCCAGCGGCATTGGGGAGGAGATATTTCCACTGGGAGTCCCTGTGGTGTGGAACATAACAAAATTAAAGCTAAATCATCTAAAATGGCAACATTTGCAAGCAAATGCACACATTTTCCTTGTTATCAGGTTGATCATTCTCAATGATGAAAGCTAATCTGTGTTAGTAAATTCCATAGTGAATTTTCATACTTTAGATCAACACAGTAAAAACAGCTCACCTCAAATTTTCAATTGCTCTTCCTTCAACCTTCTTCAGGAAATTTGAGGTGAGCTATCTTTACTGTGTTGATGTAAAGTATCGATCCTCACTATCATTCTGAATCCTTTATGTTGGAAACTCTCTGTACCTCACACAATTGCATTAGTTTATAGCAAATTTATAGCGTAATTGCTGTCTTGCAATTCACACTAGAGCCAAAAAGCGACCTTACCTCCATTGTGTTTGCAAAATGTAAAATTATACCTGTCACAGTGTTACTTCTTTCTTTGTGTGTGTAGCATTCTGCCACTGCAACAAAATGGTCACAGAAAATTACTGTATTTTACATGCATCTACCGAGGAGTTTCTGTCTCTGATTTTAGGACATGATTTAAAGCCTTGGTCCTGTCAAAAACACAGGTCAGAATTCCAATAATTTAGCAGAACATCCCTACCACGTAGAACTAGTACATGCCTAGGTTTTCTAAGCTAAGACTTGGTTTTCTAAGCTGAATTTGATAAAGATTTCTTTTTCTGATTTTAATCAACTTTTCTTATTCTACTTTATCCTTCTGAGTAATACACATAAAATGGAGGTCCCGTGTTTGGGGAGAGCAACACCCCACGCATGTTAAAGAACCCACTCGAAAAGAGTAGGGGCATGCCCCAGTGTGAGTGGTTCAAACCTTACAGTCCTAAAGCCACACCTGGGGTCGTATTGAGGTCACCTGAGTTAGCGCCAAATGGCAGCTGCTCCAGACCCTTGCAATCAAGCCCCAATAATTGTAAGCTTCTCACAATTCAGCCCTTGGCTGCGAAGAGAGTGTAGCCAGCCCATCCAGTACAATACAATACAATACAGAAACATACCTGCTATTTGAGCCCAGACACTAGAACTAACAGTGTCTCGCGTCAGCGATCCCTTCATCCCGTTCATGTCCACGGATGTGGACCGCGTGGGCAGCGGCGTGTGGTGGCTCTCATTGGCCAGATTGTCGTTAGAGATGTGTGTGGAGCGCGTGAAGGTGGAAGATGCGGTGGAGGAGGGGGTGGGGGTGTGCGGGGAGGGGTCCAGCACGTTCAGGCGCTGCACGTTCTCCAGGATGATGCTCAGGAAGGGCAGGTACAGGCTGGCTATTCTGGCCTGGTGAGCCTGCAAGGCAAGGAGGTAAAATCATTAAATGAATTTTAAGTTACATTTTGTACATGTACAATAGCCAACTTTTCTCAAACTCTGGATGTTCTGAAACAACATTATCTACATTGTATTAGAACTAATAGAAGTTTCATTCATATCATGAACAAGATTAACAGTACCTTGAAGGTGGTACAAATTTGCAGGAAAGTCATGAATACAGTATTATTATAGCTGTTACAGTATGTCTTATCAATTTTGGTGTTACACTAAGTCTTATCCACTCAAAAGTAGACAGGTAATAATGTGGGCCATGTAGAATTGTGACCTATGTGTGTAATGTTTTATTCTCATCAGAATACTTCTACATGTATATACTGTAAAGCATGTAAATCTCAGATAGATTGAAAAATCTCTTCTGATCTACCATGCTGCATATCTATTTGCATTTGCAATCCTTTGTGGTTTGGCAACGGATTCATTTTGAGCCTGTCATCATGTACAAATCACAGCTAATCTAAAAAAGAAATGACTTTGCAAACAGAAGTTACATGCAATTTCCTTGTCACTTGAAAGTAATCAAACTTTGGCCTTGACTGTTTTTTTTTCTGGCAAACAGCAATCAGGAAATATTTCCTGTCCTTGGCGGGAATATCATCATCATTGTGGTAACTAAAACATAATTCTATTATTTTTCGAAGAGCTACGACTTTCATTCTGGTCAGTTCAAGATCATCAAAACATCTGGACTACCTGGTACTCCAATAAATACTATGTCGGGGTATAGGAATATTGAAGGCAGTTCTGATTAAAAGAATGTTTTCTCATTCAAAGTGCCAATGTAAATATTTTTTTATACTCAACCCATTTAATAAACTTATACAATTAATTTGTTCGTGATACAGCCCTAAGAGTATGCAAACACTCTTTGTACATATAAGTATGGACATACATGTATGCGTAAAACTCCATTCGCACATGCCACGCAGTTGCAAGGTGGTACAGTACATGTGAGACAGACACAGCAACAACTTGCTAACTCTGACTGGCCTCAAATCAAGCAAGTTTTGACGTTTGAAGATTCTACTCTCAGACCTACCATTGAGGAGACTATCTCAGTAAGTAGCTAGTTACTTCCTTCCATAATCCTTAGTATCGTAACGGTTAAGAAATTCGGATGGGACATTTCAAGAGGTGTAATGTAGCCAGAGTCGATCAGTGTAATGTAGCCAGCTGCCACCGTGCCGCGTGCCTGCGAAGCTTGTGTGTTATGCCAAAAGGCGGTTATACTGGCTATACAGATACAGATAGGTGCCTGCACCATATTATGCTGTTAAGTTGGATGCAACACCTCAGAACATTGTCTAATTTCATATTATGTAGTTGTTTCTTTGAAAATGGATTTGTGAACTGTCAATCCTCACACTAAAAATTGGATTTACTCATTGCCTATGTAGTCAGGAGTTATAGTTTCTATCAATAATACTTCGTGCATACAAACTACAATGTAAGAAAGGGTACCATGCTTTTTTCAACTTTACCCAGAAATCTACAAAGTCTGCCAGACACAAGACAAAGACAACAAGAAAGGTGTAAAAAAATACACCTAGGCGACGAATTGTATACTATGTAAATTAGGGTATTATCAATTTATTTTCATTATATGTACGAATTGCAATACTTCACTTCATAAGCTACATGTACATATATGTGGTTATCTACATGTCGGCAATCAACCAATATCGGGTCCCCATTCTTAGTTTGGTGTCTGTTGCTATTGTTTAAATCTAATTCCAATCTTTTATTAATACTTGTAATGGATATCTTATGTTTTAGGAATTTCCGTAAATTACAAAACATTCGAAATATTTTGAGTCCGCGTACGATATTTCCAATGATTTTCAAAGAAAGGCAACTCGGTTCTGCGATTTTTAAAATTTTTTGTAAATGACCCGTGACGAAGTAATTTGCACATCAACACGAAGTGTTCTGTGAGCCCCAAAATAGGAATCGTTGATGAACCCTGCGGCGATCCTGCCGTCGGCGAGCACTCGACACGATAGCGGCCAGCCATTGATACTGAAAAACAGTGCCAAACGCTGCTTTTAATAAATTTCAAACTCTAGTGAAACATAAAATCCTTTCTGTTGTACCCTGGTTGTACAGTCCATCCATATTTCTTGAGATAAAAAAAGAGGTACCCATTCACAAAAATGCCTGTAAATTCAAGGATCTTTCTCGCACAGTGCTAGATCTATTACACAGCGCCGAAACATGTCAAAATGTACTCCGCCTTCCCTCTCGTCAAAAACGCCGTCCGTGCAAGTCATGTGTGCTTTCAAATAAGGAAGTCCGCGGAAACCTCTGGCATATTGCCGGTAACTCGGGCGATCGCGATATTCGGCCTGTATCGGCGCGTGTGACGTCATGATCGGGCTCATTTGTATGCAGGCGTCTGGCTTTTTGACTACACGGACTACAAAGGACGCCGCCGGCGCGCCGGAGGGCGTAAACACAGATTCCGCGGGTGAAACTGCACATCAAGTAAATACGAAGTTTGGCTGGTAAAAAAAGAAATTAAGAAATTAAAATTAAGATCTCAGTTGATTGCCACTTTCGAAATTTTTGCTAATTATGACATTTTCGAAAACATGCTACTCAAGTACGTACATTTTTATATTTCAGAATATTTATGATACTTTCAAATATGAAAACATTGAGAAAATATTAGAAGTATAATTAAAAAAACACGCGTTGACTTGGAATGGACTCACGTACAGCAAATGAATCCAGGTAAAATCTATCAAAAGCTGTAAGACATAAAAGGGCATACTAGTTGTGCTAAAATCTCTTTGTATAAAGTCAGTAGGAACAAAGATAACTGGATACCGGTGTTCATTATCTAGTCTACCGAAGCGATTCCTTTTCTCCACCGCTGCAAATTTCACATGCCCGGTCAAGCGGTCGTTGACCTTATATAATAGAAAGTAGGACGATATTACGAACGCCATTTTGTAACAGAATGTGAACTGTATAGCAAAGAAAGAAATGAACTGTATACGTTTGTACAACACCTATTCCCCTATTTTCACGCACTTAAGTAGTGTAGAAAAATTCATATTCCTTATGCGACTAGACAAGCCACCCTATCGAAAAACAGATCTGTACGTTTATTGCTGCAATAAACAGCCAATAAAAGCGAGGAGAAGTTGAATTTATATAACGATAGTTAATTTTGTATCTGTTAACTGTGTTCATTCTTATTGTTTTGTTGTGACCTGTACTTAGCCAAGTGTGGCAGAAATGTGCAATAAAGGTCTTCATTCATTCATTCATTAAACCACATAAGTTTACGTGCGCTCTGGATCGATACGCAAAAGCCATATGTACATATTATCATTATGTATAAAACATAACATGGTCTGTCGCTGTGTGTATATTCTGTAAGGGTAGGAATAGTCTGTCGAACCCAAACCTTTTCGCAGGTACGGGATTGTCAGAAAATTGTTTATGAAAGCCGTTATGAACCCCCAATACGGCAGACATATCATACATGTAAGGCTGGCGTGCTTGTAGGGGGTATTGTGTCCTGCATACTGTCCGCGGGCTGGTTCACAAACAGCTCACGCACGTGCACCAATTCGTGGGAGGACCGGCCCGCGAGATCTGGTTTACAGATGTGTGTCCGCCACACACGTTATTTGCAGGGACACCAAAATGCATCCAAGGTTGATAAATAATAAATAGAGTGATCACACATACACTCGCCAGCTTATAGAGGTAAAGTCGAACCGCGTAGATCAGGCGGTTCCACAAGTGTTATCTGTTGTTGTTCTGTCGAATTGCACGTGTTGTGGTGCGTAGATAAGGACGCTCCTTGGTGACATTCGTTGTTTCCGATTCCGAATGCAGAAATGTATGTCCAGATACTAATATTTTCTATACACTTGATCTGGCCTGTCGTTCACAATTGACTTTTTCAGTGACTATGTCTTTACATAGCCTCTACCAGACTCACAACGCTGGCTATTTATAGTAGAATATTTGCCAGGGGAGTTTGACCGCCTTATAGGACCTTGTAGGCTTGACTGGCCTTCGGAGGGAAGATTAAGGGGGCCATATAACTAGCTACCTCCTCGCGGCCGGACCCCCTTGGCCAATTTTAATCTCGTCTCTTTTTTCCCGAATTCTACAATCTGCATTCCCGTAGAAAGTACGGTGGAGGCTAGTCTTTATATGCCTCAAATCGCCGCGTCACAATGTAACGTTGGATGCACTTTTGTCCGTTTTTGTGGGCACATATTTTTCTTTGTAGTGGTTTTAGGACAGAAAGTAAAAGGAAACACAATAAAAGAAGAATAAAGACACACATTATTTCCATGATCTTCCATGGGTATCATCGTTATACTAAATAAAAGGAACCCGTCATTTCTTTTCTGCAGCGTTTTGGAATTTGAACAGGCTTGCGCTGCGGACATGCGCTCATGTTGGTAATATAAGGGGTTTACGTTTTCAGGTTTCGGGGAAGGTTTCTGTTTGTTTACACCGCCGCTAGCGCACTACAACAACAAGCTTGACCCTTTTCGCTCCCATCCCATACAGTGACCCTGGCCAGATGGCCGGAGGTTGCCTCGCACAAGTTGTTGTGGTCAGCAGAAATGTAGTTAAATGATTATTAAGATCGTATTCATTGTCTTGGCCAATCAGGCGTAATTGTCTTACAATTAGCAATATTTAATCCCTCCCAGATATTCCATAAATGGACAGAGCTGGCAAAACATGTTAATAAGGATGTGTCCTCGTATAAATATCACCGCGACCTACTCGCAGACTCATTACGCACGGAAAGAAACCACACGTCCAACGGCGGCGTGACCTCACGACCAGGCCGCGGGGCAGTGGGACACCGCGGGACGTGGAGCGCGGGTAGCCCGGCCAATCTGGAGCAGCGCACGGGCGTGGAATGCGGCAGCCCGGCCAGCAGCGCGCGGACGTGGAAAGCGGGCGGCCCGCGGCCC